CTTGATGTCGGCATCGCCGCGCAGTAAGTTACGCAATGAAGTACTTAAAGGTCAATTGCATCCCAAAATGATGTTGTTGATCACTCAGTCTTTTGCAAAATTTCCAAGCTTTTGATGCAGCCAGATATATTTAACTTTGTGGAAATATAATCTTTTTAATTTCCCAGTCCTTTCTGTTCATTCATTGTCTTGACAATAAGTGTGAATTGCTGTGCAAGCTTTTCGTACCCGACCGCCGTCAGACGGCGTCATGAAATCTATGCATAAAAGGCGGGCGACCTGCGGCTGTTTGATTTCCTACTCTCTCCTAAGCTAGCGATTGGTGAGAATGGTCGTAAATCGGACAGTCATACCGCAATTGTGTTGAAACATTTTTGGGGCAGTAAGTAACGTCAGAATATTGTTTAAAATAAAATATTCCATCCCAATCAAATCTAGGTCAAAGGGTCAAATTGCGTGCATATAATTATAGATAGTTAAAAACTAAATATATTTGAATGTTTGACGGCTATTCAACGTTTGTGCAAACCAGAATAAAAAAGGTAGTGTATACAATAGCGATATGACTGAGATATCATGGCATTTGTTTACAATATTGTACCCTCTAGTATTTGACCACAGTCCCTCTATATCATGATAGAGGGACTGTGATTTGACACAGCTGAAGTTGTTCGCGAACGATACAGAATGGTATAGATTTGAAGAGCCGTTCAGAATTTTCTTTGTATATCCCCAAACATTTTGACTACTCCTGTGCTGGTGACAAGTGTTTGGGCGAGCGGTCGGTGTTTTCAATAAGCGAGCGAGAGAAAAAAAAAACGGTAAAGATGTGGTCGTTTAAAAAGTGGGAAGTTGGGCAAAATGAGTACTGTGGTTCAAGTGATATTAGCATATTTCTCATTTAGTTTCAACTCGTACAATATTTATTCACTCACTGTTTACTATAGCCAGAACGCTGTACTGTCTTTACTTTCAGGTTAGTTCTTTCGCCGATTTCTCGCAACCAACAACGTGATTTTTTATTTTCGAGAAACATAACATGAATCGTTATGGAATTCATAACCCAACACCTCGCCATGTTTCAACTTTTAAGTAGTCAGTTAACAAGGTCTTTCATAGTAGCATTTCTATGGGATTGACGTACTAGCATGAATGGGTTCAATTATCAGTGTTCATTGATGACGTCATTTGACTGGCCCTCTAGAAGCGAAATGACGCCAGGAAAAGCGGACGTTTGTCGTCTGCTTCACAGCTCGTTTTATACCCGATATTTAGGGCATTTCGCAACACATATAAGTTATTTTTATCACCATAATTAATTCATAGATCTCAGATTTCATGTACAGAGTGTCAAAAGCCACACCTCTGCTCCCCTTTAATACAAGGTAAATTCCCAGAAAGCTGGAAATCAACAATACTGGTCCCTTTGCATAAATCTGGCAACAAATCCGACCCAAATAATTATAGAGCGATTGCGTTATCAAGTTGCTTATCAATTTTAAGTCTACTTGTGGTGTTAAGCAAGGATGCAATATTTCACCAACACTTTTTAATATATTTCTGAATGACCTACCCGATTTATTTGGTAAAAAGGACGATGACCCAGTCTCGATTGGTAAAAAACATATAAATTGTATCCAATATGCAGATGATTTAGTATTGGTGTCTAAGACTCCCGAAGGTCTACAAAATTGTTTAAATAAACTAGCCAACTATTGTGAAAAATGGAGCCTTGTAGTAAACATAAAGAAAACACAAGTGATGGTTTTTAATACTGGCAATCAACATTTCTCAATTAATAATCAAAATATTACAGCAGTGGGTGAATTCTGTTATTTAGGCACTATATTCACACCAAATGGAAAATTTAAATCAAATTTACTATGTTAAAAAAACAAAGCAATGAAAGCTTTATTCTCTATACGACAAACCATATTAAATCACAAAATGGTGTCCCCTTCACTGTGTTTAAAGTTATTTGACCAACTAATTTCACCAATTTTAATGTACGGGGCAGAAATCTAGGCTTGTGATTAATTAAAAGATGACAATAATCTTGAACAAACCTGTAATCAATTCTATCGTTTCATAAGTATAACTACATCAGTAATCGGTATTAAAGGAGAACTTGGCAGAATGCCAATAAGAATAAAGGCATCGACATTGGCAACTAAATAATGGTTCGGGCTAAATACCCTACCTGATAACCATATACTTAAATGTGCTCTCGATGAAGCAGTTAAGAATAATTCTAGCTGGATAAAACATATAGAAAATATAATGGGACACAATGACTTTGAAACAATAAAATTAAACCATAAAGCGAATAACATTGATCAAATCTCAAATGTTGTTAAAATAAAACTCACAAAAGATTATGAAAAATTATGGAAAGAAAGCTTAAATTCTCCTCACAGTAAACATGGTAAAGATGGCAATAAAATGAGAACATGTAAATTATTTAAATTGTTTTTGAAAATAGAAACTTACCTGACAGAAATAACAAACTTGAGCCTTCGGAGAATTGTGAGTAAATTTAGGCTTAGTGATCATAAATTAGAAATTGAAAGAGGCAGACAACAACGACCAAAAATTCCTGCGGATGAGCGATTTTGTAAAAAATGTCATACAAATTCAGTTGAGGACGAACAACATTTTATCCTAAATTGTGAATTTCTTGATAAAGAAAGAGGGGAGCTGTTTCAAGAAATAGGAATTAAAGATAAACTAAATAAAACAGACAATTTCATTAAAATAATGACGTGCTTCATACCCCTGGTAAAGTTTCTAAATAAGGCAAAAAAGAAATCAGGTATATGATAGCTATCACCTCTACATTGGGAGAATCCTGTAACTATCATTAATTTGTTTTTCCTATTAAGCTTTTAACATCTTTTAATTTTATCTTATAGTTTAGCTACTGTATTTTTTCTTATGATTTGCATTTTATTTACCATACTGCGCCCTCTGATGGCATAGTAGTGTAATAAAGTTATTATTATTATTGTAATTTAGATTAGTTCCGTCCGTCCGTCCGTACGTACGTCCGGAGCTATATCTCGGACAGCCATTGACGGATTTCATTCAAATTTTACATGAAGACAATGCATAATGTCTTAAATATGCACGTCAAGTTACTTTATGATCGGAGCAAAAATGGCCGACTGGCGGCCATTTTGAATGTAAAATTTGCCATATCTGATACCTAAACGTATCTGCAGCAGTTTCTCGGAGATGACCGGGCCGATTTGGATCAAAGTTGGTATGATGATCATATATATTAGGTTGTAGGTGCACGTCATTTTTTTTTCGTGATTCGAACAAATATGGCCGACTGGCGGCCATCTGGTTTTTCATGGTACCCATGCTGCTTTATCTTGAATGCAAGGAACGTTTCTCTTTAAATTTTGTACAAAGATAGTATACCAAGGGATACATGTGCACCAACATTATTTTTGTGATTCGATTCAATATGGCCGGCCAATGCCCAATTTACATGTAAAAATGCTAAATCGTAATTTTTACATGTCCGGAGCTGTTTCTCAGAGATGGCTAGGCCAATTTGGATCAAAGTTAGTATGATGATCATACATATTGGGTTATAGTTGCATGTCATACTTTTTCTGTGATTCAAACTAATATGGCTGACTGGTGGCCATTTTGTTTTTCATGATGCCCCTGCCTACTTTCCCATGAATGTGATGAACATTTCTGTTTAAATTCTGTACAAAGACAGTATACCAATAGATACATCAAGATGAACATTATTTTTGTAATTTGATTCAATATGACTGCCCAATGTTCAATTTTCGCGTAAAAGCACTAAATCATAACTTTTTACAAATCCATCTCCTATTAATGGTTTCAATCTAGTCTCAATGACTTCATCAGCATCAAATTGATATGTCAGATAACCCATATTTTGGACGGGGACTGTGTCGTTAACAATGACTTGTTTATTCAAGAATTACAACATTCTAACTTGCAAAAATACATAGTCTCAGCTACTTCAAATTTATAAGTTTTCTAATAGTGCTTGTTTGTTTTCACAATACAGCCTTGACATGTTTAATTTCTAACATATTAGCGCTTTCTCTGTCTCTCTAAAAATCTGTGAAAATGGTGGGAAAATTTCGTTAATACAGAAATAATCATAATTTGCATTGATTTCAGAGGGATTACGTATGCAAAAACAAAATAGTTTTTTGTGTGTTTTTTTGTATTCCCCTACATTGAATGAGTTATTCTGGAAACGCACATGCGAAGCCAATCTGGTTAAAAGCGTATTTCTTTGCATTAACTATTTTAATTTTATGTATTTCAGTTTTGTTTTCTTTTCTCTAATTAAACGAAACAAAACGCATGTCAACTATTTATTAGCATATAGTACCCGAAATAAAAATAAATAAACACATAAAATTACAAATACAAGAAAAAGCCCAATTAAAAACCTTATTAACGTGAGACTGACGTCCTCTTAATTACCAGGGGGCTGGTACTCATACGATCTCGGGTTGTGCAATGTCAACCGTTTACCAGATCCTGTGATAAACGTGCTTGCCACCGAGACATGCTGAGTCATAAAAACGTGCTTCAGCAGTGTGAATCTATGACCTTCTATAGACCATGGAGGTAATAATCTGATTAAAATAAGATCCTTTATTTTTTTCTATATTTATTTTATTTTGATCTAGTATTCATTCTTTGATAGTTTGTTTTTATGTTTTGGTAATTGCGAAAGCCAACAAGGATCGATGTATGTGGCGATAGTTAAACATATACCACAGTCCCTCTATCCGGAGGGACTGTGCATATACCAAATCACAAGTACGTAACAAAAAACATAAAAAAATACAAAATAAATAAATAAAATACAAGCCGTACAATACATTAGATTTTAATCAGATTGAGACTCATTAGGTCACGTTATTAATTATTACCATACTACGCCAATCACCTGTAAGTCTCAATCCAACACCGTTTCTAGAAGTACATGATATTCAATAAAAATGTCTCCATGTAGCATTGTGTTCCTTTATTATAAAATCCGGCACTTTCTGAACTAGACTGATGTTCAGGTTCAAAAGAATAGAGTTATTTTGGGGAGTCACATAGCCTAAGGTGGAGAGTAATTTTTTGCACGGCGACAGTGCTTCCACAGCTCTCACTGCTGCCAATGTTAGCTTACTTCTCCAGCTTTGGGCTTGTTGTTTGGAGTTTCGACTTGTCCCAAAATCGCCGCCTTTACTCGTCTTTGTGTTATCCTGTAGCCAGTCACGAATACTTGTTGGGAAATGTAATCCTAATGTTTTATACAGACCTTCCGCCGATAATTCTGGGTTCTCCGCCATGTCTTCGTATCTAACGAATGTATATTTGGTGTCGAAATATCCGATATTAGTCATAGTACGTCCAATTATATAATTATCTAACATTTGTTGACAGTATGTGTTTGCAGTCCACATCGTTTGCATATCTAAGTCATCCGAGTCATACTTGGGTTTGGCCCCTCTTTTCAACTTCAACCACGAAGCGATCCTACCACGAGGGTCTCTTATTACGTGCACGAGTTTAGTGTTTAGCGTTTCACCGCGTATTAAATGCAATGCCTCATTTATCTGTCTAACGCGTATGGTTTTAACAGCAATGTGTTTTTTGTTCCTGCATACCTCCCCTAGAGATTCAGCTGATATCGAACATGGTTTCACATTGGAGTGTTTACATTGGAGTGACGGAATATAGCGTAATCTCGACGAATTTGACAAAGCGGAGAGTTCTTGCAGATAACATTGCATGCTTGCAATTTCAAAGTCGCAGTGTAATATGTTTTCTAACATTTGCGAATATAGCGCAGGGAAGACAGCATCCGACATCCCCGATTTCATCGCACATTGTGTTAGAAGAAGGCCCGGTTCAAACACGTAGAAGAAGTCGTCATTGCGATTGAATAATTCTGCTGTAAAGCTGGAACCAGTCCTAAAGGCTGCCAATATAATTATATGTTGCGTCTTGGCACCACTGTCGAGTGTGCCACGATTGAAACTGTTATCGCCATTTTTTGTAAAAAACTGAATGTCCTGGCGTCTTGGATCAAGTATCTCGCTATCATTGCTACGAAACGCAGATATCACAGCATCGCTTACTTCATATGTGTGTTTTTTATCCACCACATTCTGCCAGGAGTTAATCAGGAGACCCATCGCAGCCAGAACTATCGCCGTTACGATGTAGTGCCCAAACTTTTTAACCATCTTCAACGGCATTACGCGGTGTCTCGGTGGCGGCGATGGCGACGCAGTTGATTGCATTTTGTTGTATTAGTAGTCACTGCTCTGAACAAAGTAATCCACTTTACTGTCGAACTACGTCAGCATGACGTCACTTCGTAGCCAATTCATTCTGGTCGTTAGACTTTCATACCAGCAGGAAACATTTGAAACTTCGCTTTGTAAATACAAACGTCGCGTTATGGTAATTTTCCAAATTTACCTATTAACACAAATGTACCATATGGCGCGGGGTCGTTTATTTTGGCGTGTCCATAGAAACATGCAAATCGTTCACAGTCAATATGACAACATGTGTGGACATGTGGTCGATCAAATAATCAATTAAAGGGCGGTGGTCGTCACGTCGCGTCCTGTTCGATGGGGGACTCATAGCGACGTACGCAACGCGTGTAAAGAACCGATTGTTTGTTTACATGAAGCTCGGACAAGCGCTACGCTACGACCACCGCCCGTTATGCATTGCATTTGCAAGTTTATACATCGGTAATCCCAGGCTAGTCTACTGGAGGTATGAACATATCTCCATGGTAACCTCAGTGTATATGAATTATTTATAAGTGGCAAATAGCTGCATAGTAGAATGAGGATGACGTTACGTGTGATTGGTTCAATGCGGACTCGTTAAATACTAATGAAACCCATTAATGCGGTGACAGTTTGGTTTTATGGCACCGCACAATAGAATAACTTTGAGAGATCAGTCTACAAACATTTACGTATAATATGCTGGCATATAAAATATAATTTATTTAGATCATATGTTGTGTATACTACAGTTATATATATATATATATATATATATATATATATA